TCCCTCCGTGGGCGAAGTCTTCAGTGGTGTCGATGGAATGTACAAGCAGACCCTGCGTCGCGACCCCAACGTCGACCGCGTACGTGCAATCGTGGGCACGATCATACTTTCCCCCGAACCTGTTTCGGAAAACGATCTACAAAATCGTCTGAACTTGATCGACGGCGAGGCCCACGTTACCCTCCAGTGGCTGCAATCTATCTTGGCAATCCCTTCCAGTGACACTGAGCCGATTCAGGTAGTTCACCGTTCGCTTCGTGACTTTATGACAAATAAAGTACGAGCTGGCGAATACTACGTAGACCCCAACGAGGATTGCACAATGCTACGGCAAAAATGGCTCGACAACCTTGCACGCATGGGAGTCGTATGACATACCAATAACCTTCAACATGTGGACATATTCATACTGTACATCACCACTTTATAACTCTTACACGCATATACATATACCATATTGTATCTTGACATACATACATCAATAGGCACGGTTACTTCTGTGAGTAGAGGTTACAGTGGCCGAATCGATTAAGGAGAGAAAGACGTGACTTCATTGGGTTCCAACCGTTTCTGAATGGATGACTACACTCTACGATAACAAGGGCAAACTTTGGTCGCCCAGCATGTCACGGACAGTGTTCAAAGCCGAATCAATCGCCCCAACTATCCAAGTATGATGGCGAGAAAGATGCTCGCCAGCAAAGTAAACACCATGCTCAGGTGTTGCCAAGACACTTGCATACGCAGTATGTTGGCCAGGAAGAAACATAGCATCCCCACAGGACCAGTTGCTCGACCAGCATATCGCCTTCCCCTCAATGAACTCGTCGTAGACATTGATTTCTTTCTGGTAGAGTTTTGCCAGATCTCTCAATGCCAAATCAATCTGGTCCTCGTCTGACAGTGGTAGCCACGTATTTGCGTCTGTCATCCAGGAGTAGGTCAACAATACGCCGGGCCCCTGAGAACCCATCCCATTGGAAGGGTAGACGACCCAGCGGCTAGGCAGGTCCGTGATGGATTGTCCTCCAAACGACGGACGGCGCACGCGCTCCCAAAAGCGAGTTTTGAAGCGAAGCCCCAGTTTGAACAGCGGTTCAAAATGAACGGCACGAATGGCGGCCTCTTTACTTGGCGACCATCTCGGACGGTGAGTAAGCATGGTACGGATAGCTGCAGGTGGAAGTGCCAGGATGACGTTGTCAAAGACTGTATCCATGGGGTTGGTGGCGGCGGAGCTGTCGAAATTTAGAGTTATACCACCGCTAGGGAGTTCAGCGAAGCCGCGGACTCTGGCGTTGAGTGTGATGTTCTGGGGCCCAATTATTCGGGCCATGGCATTAGGGAGTTTGTCCATGCCGTCTTTGATGGTAAACCACTCTCGCGTGGAGAAGTCCATGTTTTGAAGAATCACTTCCGTGAAGCCCAAGGAGTACTGATTGCTTTGGGATAGCATACGCTCTACGAAGTCGATGACTTCTGGTGGCCATTGCGCGACGGACCTCAGGTACATACGGAAGGACAGGTCGTCATATTTCATGATCTCGTTATAGCCGATTGTGAAATTGTTCTGCAGGGCCTTGACGAAGGGCCGTATGATGGGTTCCAAGAGCTCGGTGGCTGTCATGTTAGTATACGGTTGCGGCAAATCGAATCCCAGGCGGTGTGCGGTCAGGGAATCGAGGTCGGACAAGCAGTAATGGCTACCATCATCCTGCCGTCGGTCGTTGACGTATACGCGATTACCCGTCGAGTGGAGAATATAGGGCACGGCTTCAACGTGGTTGTTTCCGAGTCGTGCATTGATAAATGAAATGACGTCAAGAACTGGTCGGTGAATGGGGGATTTAGGAATACGCATGGCGCCAGCCTCAAAGAATTGGTCCTTGTCATCGTTGAATCTATGGGTCCAGACTCGGCCACCAACCCTGGCATTGGCCTCGAAAATGTGGACAGCTACTCCTTTGGATTGTAGAAGGAGGCCAGCATAAAGGCCAGCTATTCCGCCTCCAACTATGGCTACCTGACGAGGAGGATGCCTGCTGTGATCGTTAGACCCAGCGAGATATTCCGCAACACATGATACCCACATTTGTGTCATGTTTAAACAATTGTTCAAGATGAAGAGTTGCGTAGATGATCCTGGCGAAGTAGCGTTTAAATAGCGTTGTAATCATCCGATAATAATACCAGGAAACGGAATAAGGGATGACCTACCAGCTTATCCAACCACTAGCTGACAATGAGAGCCACACTAGAGTATGCGCTCGCTAGGAGTTCATCTAGAACCAGCACTAAAGTACCTTCATACAAGTGATGGTCTGTATAGCCGAGGCCCTTGAACCAGTTCTACCTCTGAACGGTCGACTTCGCCAAAGGGCTGCCTGGCACCCCAATCACAAGCAAGACGCGTATGTCGCCACCGCACGCAAGCGGCAAGCAGATTCAGCCCGACGCGGAGTCCATGTAAGAAACGAAGATGATCCCATGGGGCACGCTCGCGACCTATATGGTAGCTCACAATGCATAGAGATTTGAGGAGCCACGGCCCGAGTGAAGCTTGCAAAAATAGAATAGACATACAGTGCAGAATGGCTAAGAACAGTTCTAAGTAATCTCAGTTCTATTTCGCCCTCAAGCGAAGTCGAACATGGAATGATGCACTCACTCAGGATAAAGAGGTGTCGACCTCGATTACTTGAACCATATCAGGTGAATGTGGTTCACCCACACGAGTCAGCGGAGTCTGAATTGTTGAACGCGCACGTGATGCAAAGTGACTTCGAGCCTCCTCATCGTACCTATCTCTTGACCTACTCAACTTAATTTCGAGCCTACCTCCCAATGCGCAATACTCGGTAGCCTATGCTCGATATGCTTTGAGTGTGGGTATCTGCTTACCTCATTAGAGAGGAAGACTCATTAACGACATGGAGCCAGGAGAACAATATAATCCCAATGCTCGTCCGGGCTGGCGAACGGTGATACCCTGCGAGAATTGAGAAACCAGCTATTCTCAACGTCGCGTATGGCTTCTATCCCGTCTAAGGTATAGAAACTGGAGCTACGACCAACGCGTTTCCGCGTTAGTCGAGAAGCCCCGGTTTCTGTTCCCGTTGCAATTCCGGAGTGATCTTTAGTCATCCGTCTTTGATGGAAATAGATGGTAGATTCCTACTCAGCCTGCAAATGTTCGCCTTGGTTCTGCCATAAAACCGGCTAGTTGTTGCCTTACTCATGGACATCCCTTTTTCTCTGCGTCCCCCTTCGAACGCCGAGCTATGAGTAGTGAACATGACGCTTCCTCTCATGCGCTAGGCGAGTATGCATCCCCCGATGCAAGTGCCAGCGCTACGATCTTTGCAAAAACTCCCTCTGCTGCGTCGATTAAATCCCCTGAGACATTTCCTGAAGGAGGCTACCAAGCGTGGCTGGTCGCACTGGGATCATTTCTAGCTCTCTTCTCCACTTTCGGCGTGGTAAACTCCTTTGTAAGTCAACGGCAGGGGAGTTGAAACCCATTCACTCATCAGTTGTCCCTTCAGGGCGTCTTCCAAGAGTACTACCAAACGACATTGCTCACTAGATCAACGCCTTCGACGATCTCACTAATCGGAGCTTTGCAATTGTTCCTCCTGTATGGACTGAGTCCCTTCGTTGGTCGCATATTCGACGCCTATGGGATCGAGGTATGTCGCAATCCTTTGCCAAATGATGTGCATTAATCGCGTCTCTAGATCATCTTACCATTAGGGTCCTTCCTCACCGTCTTCTCTATGATGATGACATCCCTCTGCCAGCCTGAGCAGCCGTACCAGTACTTTCTAACCCAAAGCTTACTTTTTGGCGTCGGAAACGCGTTGGTGTGAATGGACTCTTCCTTTCGTTTAAATCGCCGTATCTAACGTCTCAATAGATTTACGCCATCACTAGCTGTAGTGTCCCACTGGTTCCGCAGGAGAAGATCATTTCTACTTGGGATCATTGCGTCCGGGTCTTCTTTGGGCGGGGTGATCTACCCATTGATACTACAGAATCTTATACGCAAAACAGGATTTCCCTGGGCGATGCGTATCGCCGGCTTTGTAACACTGGGATGTCTTTCCGTGTCTTGTTTGACGATGCGTACACGGCTGCCGCTACTCGGCAATATGTCGTTATCGTCTGCAGTCGACTTGAGAGGTTTTAAGGATCGTAAATATATCCTCATCTGCATAGCGGCATTCTTGTGGGTGTCACATCTCCGCTCGCAAAATAAAGTGGCTGATGTCATTGGCTTATAGATTATTCTATGCCTTATTCATTCCGTACTTCTACATCGAGACCTACGCAAACTACCATGGAGTTGACCGCACGCTATCAAGAAACTTGCTGGCGATCCTGAATGCCTGCGGTATGCCCGCACGAATCATTCCTGGGCTATTGGCCGATCGCGTGGGCCCGTGCGTTCCATCCGTACGAAATCTACTTTGTCACTCAGCATTGCACTTAGCTTGAACGTTCTTATCCCCGCGACCTACATATCCGGGACCTTAGTCCTAGGGGTGTGGCTTCCATCCCGCGGTGCAGTCCCTATCACCCTTTTTAGCGCACTTTACGGCCTATTTTCTGGTGACTCATGCAATTCTACTTCTAATGGCCGCTTATACTGACGATCTTAGGTGCTTTCGTATCCCTTCTTCCTGCTTACATCGCTACTATCGTCCCCAGGGAGAACTATGGTGCCCGGCTCGGTGGGTTCTCATGCGACCATTTTTCAATGATCATTGCTGATTGCTCTTAGGAACGGTTTTTCTGGTCATTGCCGTGGCCACTATCGCTGGTACACCGACTGCTGGCGCATTCCTCCCCGTGGTAGATCAAGCACATTTCAACGGTCTCATCATATTCGCCGGGGTCTTGGTTCTTTGTGGGGCGTTAGCTGCCTCAACGATATTGATGTTCAATAGAGGCAAATGTGCGGGCACCATCTAAATGCAAATATGAGTCACGCGAATGTGTGCCCCGTGGCTTAGTTGGTTACGGCGTCCGACTGTTATTTCTTAGTTATGACATCGGAAGATCGAGAGTTCAAGTCTCTCCGGGGCAGGTCCTGTTTTTTCTGTTTTGTTTTGCTTTGATAAACAGATTCTCGCTTGATTGCGGCCCAATCCCACCACTTCGTTGGGGTCGGCTGTCGGTCTCGTTCTTCTGCTACTCGAGTCGCGAAGTACTCCCGAAATGGGAAAGAACTGTCTCCAACTTCACCACGATGGCCACCCATGGTGCGCCGAGGAGGTCGTACATATTCTTCCGTAAAGTGGCAGGAGTGTGTCTGGCTCGACCACCTTTCTGTATCTTTTATTTCCGCGTTGATCTCCTTTCCGAACCTTAATCGCAGCTTTCATCCTCACTCTCCGTTAAGCATCGTATTCATTTCCTGTATGTAACACGTACTATTAACTTCACACGTGTCAAATAGTGAATTGGCTTCCAAGTTTGGAGGATCGTTTTTATACTCTCGTTTCTATTAGCTTTCGCAACACGTTCTCTCTTAACGCCGTCACGACTTCTTACGTTGGGTGCAATAAGTGCGATTGCATCGAAACATAACGGTCCGAGCATAGGAATATCCGATAAAATCGTCTTATAGGCGGGCATCTTCACCACATCTCCGCGTGCTGTGGGCATCCAGTAACAGCAGGCATTCACACCAAGACATACCAACGTACAGGGTTGCGTCTAGACTCCTGACTCTTTTATGACCTTCTTGTACAGTCTCTGGTGCGAGGCACACGGACAAGGCCACAGCGTGGTCAGCTTTTCGATAACGATTATCTATTGTGTTACTAATGAATCTACAGTGACGCACTCATATGTGATCTCGTTCTACAGCCTTCTTGATTCCTGCCTCGTTAAATACTGCTTGCGTTTTCCAATAGTTTACGGCTGTTGCTCGGCTTCGTTTTCACCTGGCCGTTACGGGTGTATAGGAGGCCTTGAAAAGGTGTCGAGTTTATCTACCCAAGAAATAGACTCCCGGTCCCTCGCCGTAGCCGAAGCATTAAGGCTTGACTAGCAGACACCGTCACTACGCAGCCGCTGCACACTTCCCTCGGTCTAGGTCGCTTGCTGTCAACTATGAACACCGTTGCTCTCCCTCTGGAGATATTCCTGCATATCTTCCTCTATCTCACCATTGAAGACATACTTGCCCTTCGGCAGGTAAGAGCACTTATCGTGTCACTTCAGAGTCACTGTTAACCACTCTATTTCCATCCAACTCGGTATAGACATGTAAGGACTTTCAGGCAATGACCCAATCTCGAAGCGTTTGGGCTCTTCTCTACCAGACATATGTCCTCGAACAAGATATTCCGACGCCAAAAATGGGCAATGAACGCTTGATCGAGTCAATGGGTGCTCGCGATCTAGAGGACATGACGATACGGAGTTTACGGCTGCGAAATAAGTGGACGTCGGCTTTCCCTCTGGCAGCCCGGAAGACGACGATTATGTCTCATCACGCTGGGAATTCTGCACCACGCGTCATCGGCCTCCACTTCCTCCCAGGTCATGGAGCCCGCTGGCTGATTTCTGTCCACGCTTTCCACATCGGGGGACAAGTGGTATTTACTGTCCGCAATTGGGACCTTCTAGCCAATCCTCCGGTTCAGACGATATGTTTGACCTCCCCTGTGTTCGGTGGGTTGGCGATTAATACACAGGCTGGACACCCATTCATTCTGGCGGTGCAACGTCCGCAGTGAGTCCTGCAATTATATGTTACGACTTTCTCAAATTTCAACCAACTCAGTCTTGAAATATACTCCATGGACGCTTGGGGGACTCTGAAGCGAGAAAAAACCTTCCCCGATCACCATCGCCGCTTGTTTGCCTTTGCGGGTAATACGGTCGTCTTCACAGCCAACAACAACGGGTCGTTGAGTATCATGAACGTCGATGATCCTGACACAGAGACCTCGTTATTCAATCCTGCAAATCCCCAGGTGCCATAGGTTTCTTTATAGTGTACTCGTTGACCCTGACAATATGCTCCAGCCTGACGAATGCCACAGTGTCTTCATCCATACAGATTTTTTGATGGTGTTGCGAGGGAAAACCTTCGAAATATACGACCTTTTCATTTTCCGCAACGCAGACCCAGATCTAGTCGAACCACAGCGTACACTCGAAGCTGTAGCGTGCCACAGGTGGCAATGGCGATTAGATAGCGGTTGTCTCGTTCCCCAGGTGTCTCATTTCGCGGCACAACAGAAGAGTCTGCCTCCCATCTATATACTCGCTCGCTTCGGAAGCTGGTTTCCGTGGCCAGTTAACATTCTACACCACATCCAACTCACGCCCAACCCCGCGTACGATGACTCTCTGGTCGTCAGCCAAACCAACCTCCCATACCTTATGCCGCCAGCCATAATGCAGACCATCGCATCACCCATCCGCTTGTTTTCCATCACACATATGGTGCTTGGAAAATATGGTTCAGCGGTTTGGATCGACACTCATACGGAAGACTACTACGCGCCAGACTGTGGCCAAAGACTGGCTGGCTACTGCCTCAAGCATGTCCCCGACGACATCGGGGGCTCAGAGATACAACAAACCACGGTAGCGTCCACCATGTTTGATCTCAATGAACAAGACACTTGGGTCAGATTGGCCATCGACGAAGCGGAAGGGAGACTAGCCGCGGGGCATTCAAACGGGAAGATCACTATCTACGACTACGCATAGAAGCTTTGATGGAGCGGTGCATTCGTGGGATACCAATCCATTCATCTGTTTGGTAATGTGCTAAAGTACATAGTAAGGTTTGGGAGTAAACGACAAGCTCGTGGACTTGGCTACCGTCATCTTGGGGAGCTACGATAAACACTAATTTGCGGACTGTCGCACGAATTCGCGGGGAATCATTATTTGGAGGCTATATCCATCGATTGATAGAAGTTGACATCCAACACACGACGGAGACGGGCTTAGTAGGTCTAGAAAGCAAAAAGGGCAGTTACGTGACAGCCTAGCCTGCGTCGTCGATGAAGGGATTATGTATATGTATAAGAAACTGAGACTTTGACTCGCTGAGCCGGCGGGAGATGCTTCGTGCAAGAAGGGAGCAGCGACACGCCCCTAACGACCGCTATATTGCAGCAGAGTATTATGAAACTACCGAGGACCGCAAGGAACATTCTATTCGTTCGTTCGATGAAGAACTCGGTGCCCACATCTCGGCACGCCTGGAAGCAATAGCCTGGGCGAAACGGTTGACAACAGCCAGAGGAAGAAACTTAGGTTGACTCTAATGTCCTTGCAACCTAACTTATTGCTTAGCGTCGAGATGGTGAATCGTAAATATACATGGACCTGGATGCATCGCAAGAGATGAAGATAGAGCTTGCTTGATACTCGGTACACTATGTACAGTGATGGATATTATACAAATGTTGGCTCATGGAGTGGAAGCGATCAAAACCTACGAGACAATTGTCAACACTGATGTATGGTGAAGTGCAACGACTTACAGCAGACGGGGTAAGACCCAAGTCTCGAAGTGACTTGGAAAAATCGGCCCGGCTGAATTGTTTTCTATGTGCAACGTAACCGAACAAGTCACTAAAGCCCGGGATCATCGATGCTAGAGGACACTTACCTTGGGAAGTGTTGGGCAAAAGAGACGGACTCCACATCTACAGAAAGGGTTTGACCAGCCAAAAACTCGGCAACTTCTCGTAAAGCTAACAGATACTTAGTTGTATGAATGTACGGTCGCATCAAGCGCTTACGAGCATCGCTTGACAGGGTGGTCGTAAACGGCTGCCCACCACTGGCCATTCGTATCTGAAGTCTGGTTTCCTTGAAGTCTTTACCAGATACGCCACTGGAGGAGCTAGCCGCCGACTGAGCGGGACCAGACGAACTTGGGGCGTCGACTATTTCCCTGCCCTCGCGGAGTGCCTTCTCCCTAGCGGCCTTCTCAGCACGCGCTTTCCTGTCAGCCTCAATCTGTGCTTTGACTGCAGCTCTAGCTTTGGCATCTTCGATTTTATCTTCGTGCTCACAGTTAATACCGTGCAACGCAGAACTAAGGAGGGAGGGAGCTTACCTCGCTTCCTTTCTTCAGCCTCCTTCAGTGCCTGCTTGACTTTGAGATTCTCTTTGATCTGATCCATTTCCTGTGAGGCATGAAGATATCAGCGTCCTCGAGCACGAAATCAGTAAATTAGGGGACTATGAACCTTTCCTGATTTACGTCTTAACGCTTCGTTAGCTTTGGCCTCTTTGGCTTCCTCTACGGCCTTCAGGGCACGCTTTTGAGCAAGTTTCTCGCGCAGTTCAGCTAATTTCTGGACCCTCTCTTCCTCCGTCAATGGTTTGATCTATGTAATCGTGAGGATTCTTTGTGGATCCTAGAGAGAAGGGGCAAGTTACCTCCTCCGTAGACTCTTCAAATTGATCATGCCCACTCTTCTCTGCATGGAAATTAGCTAGGGCAGTGTTCTTGAATATCTTGCCACAGAGGGAACATTTGATGCTCTAGAAGGGAAGACTGGTAAAACGAACTGCCTCTCGGCGGGAGAGCGCGTGCATGCCTTCGCTTCGACAGCGTTCCCAGCAACACCCAGACTCTTCAGAGCCTCGGCATCTTCGTCGTCATCGTCGTCATCTGCATGCGCTTGAGTGGAAGACGACCCGGACGCCGACACTGAAGATAGATCAGGCACTGCTTGTCCTTCGTGTTCAAGTATGTGGTCCATCGCTGGTTGCAGACCACGGCTTCCAGTTGCTTTGAGTGCCCCTGCATTGTGGAAGTCCAGTCAGTGGCGCGAGTCGAGCGCGAACATAGTGATAAATGAGATCAGTGAAATCGGTATGCTGAAAGAGAAGATGATGCCAACACTCGACTCGGGCAGCGTCAAACCCCATGCTCAGCAGTGTATCTTTATCCGAAGGCATGTTGACTGGAAGTTGTTCTCAAGAGTCAAGTTATAAAGAAGGTCGTCGCCTCGACGCGTCACTAGTCACTGACTGACTGTGGGGATTCTCAGTCTGGAACTCCGAACAAAGCAGGACAAGCGCCCAGGCGGCTGCGAG